TGGCATTGCTGGTAACTGCTGCTGCTGCTGCATCTTCTACTTCTACTTCTACTTCTACTTCTACTTCTACTCCTACTTCTACTTCTACTTCTACTTCTACTTCTACTTCTACTACTACTGCTACTACTACTACTACTACTACAACTGCTGTTACTGCTACTGCTACTGCTACTGATACTGCCACTACTAGTACTGCTATTACTACCACCGCTACTCACTACTCTATCAACCACTACTCTATCAACTAGGAAGAGATGCAGTGGAGAGTTCTTCAACAAAACACATACATGTGATCGATGGTTTTTGGACATCCTCCGATTACAATGCATGGCTTTTACAGCAAAAGTTCAACGCATGAGAGGTTTTCCTGTAGCAATGCACAACAAACCGGTTCGAAAAACCGCCAGTTTCCGGCGGTCTCGTCCGTTAAGACCTTGGGTAAGGTGCAAGCGGAGCACATCCCGAGCTTGGATACACTGCACGAGAACGCTTCCACAAGCATAGACAACTCGAGTTGCACATCTAATGAAGGCAGAGTGCACCTGCAAGAAGCATGCCAAGGCCTTCAATAGATGTTAGAGTCAGTATTGCTAGAAATGTCCCCTGCAGACGGGGGTGCTGCAATCATGCAGTCATGCAGTTGCAGTCCAGCACTTCACGCCTTTGTGCATGTTGAGAAGCAGAGCAGGCAAGTAGCGTTGCGTCTTCTGCAACTGGTACCTTTGGTGAATGTGCATAGCGTTTTCGATCTGCTAGGCTCGGCATCGTAAGCAGCGTTTTTAGGTGCCCGCCGAGATCGCCGCGAGCGCGCCAACACCGTCAGGAGGCCTGCCCATGAAGACTATGTTAACTCCAGAAGAAAGTTCATGCTCTTCATCGCTACGAGATGTTGTTTCTAGACACCAGCCTCGGACAGAAGCATCCGCAACAAAAAATCCCATTTCATTTCTGCCGTGATCGATGGAACTAGCATGTCATATCACTTCAAACTGGGCAACTTCGAGTGATCTCACATGTCTGCCAGGCAAGCACCGTGAGGGAGTCCACGACGACGAGCGGACACCGCGGGAGGTGCTAATCACGAATTCGATGGATGAGGACTGCCTCGGACACACCTCTGAACCGCTTGACGGTGGCAAGGGTCCCTGAGTGGGCAAGCGTGGTTTAACTTACAGCCTTTCTTGTACAGTAGTTATTATAGTATGATAACACGGGCTTCCAGACCCTTCCCGTGGTGACTCAAGTCGATGTGTTTGCAGGAGCTGCGGCATCCTGAGGCTGCGGTGGTCTCCGATGAAAGCACCAAGGATCCGTCAAGTACCAAAGTTAGAGGTCGCAGGCTTTGTCGTTTTCCGCTCAGCACTGTAATTTGAGCTTTGTGCAGGATAGCCTCAGCAATGCCGATGAGGCAACAGATTCTGCCGGACTTGCTGGACTGCGAAGCTCTGGCTCAATGTTGTGCAGTCCTGTTCGATCATCAGTGGGTCAGGCAGCTTTGGACGAGCCCCGCGGAATTCGCGACCGCCGCTCGAAGCTGCAAGAGGTCGAGGCGGGGACTACAGGGCCAACGTCGAAGGTGACTGCAAGGATGTGCAATGTGCTTCGTCATGTTTTGAGAAATCGCTTGCGGCTCGTGAGCAGGTGGTGCAGCGCCGACGTTGCTGCCTGTTTTCCGGATGTGGTGGTGGCTAGTGAGGTGCCTTGGGGGAAGCATGGCGAGCTCGCCGATGGTTGCAGTGTTACAGTGCCACGCACGCAGTTTTCCAGATCTATTAACTGTTCTGAACATAAGGTTTATCCGGACACACGTTCCTGTCTTGCGCTCTTTCGCCGTGTGTTGACGATTCTGCCGAGCTCGCAGGCAGCTAGACCTTGCTGGATCACTAGTTGCTCAGGTTTCACAGTTGCAATGAAAAGTTGCCCTCGCAGGAAGCTTCGTATTACTGCTTGTTACTGACTTCCTAGCTAATCGGTCATGTCATGAGCCTGGCACAATTCCTGCGAGGCTTTGCCCAGCCTTTTGAAGGATTGTTGTATGGAATGCTTGTCTGGCAAGTGCAGTGTTTGAAGAGCTTTAGACTAGATGGTACTCTCAGACAAACACTCGTTTGCACTGTTGCATTGCCGGGGAGCACTAATGCTCTAGGGAGTCAGGGACTCTGTATAGGAAATTTGCTGCCTCCATCCGCTGCCGAGAATGGTACAGCTGTGTGGCAGTTTGTGCTTCGTCAACGGCAGGCCCGTTCCACGTAATCAGACGCTGCCAGGGAGCAGGGTCTGCCTCGAACTGCCATGACGAATTCAAGGCGCACAAATTTGTCCTTAGTTTCATGTCGGGGCCAACAGAAGGTTTCCGAGTGGCCGACAGATCTGGCGCCCGGTCAGCAGAGCTGGCCATCGCGCCCAGCCCCAGCCCTGGGCGACTCTGCAGAGTCCGGAAGCTGCAACGGGACGCACTCTGCCGAGACTCCCAGACTCAGCCCGGGACGCAATCAGCAAGAGACTGGTTTGCCCCTGGGTAGGTGAGATCGGTCTGATAGCCTGCATCAACAGATTTCCAGGTGGATTCTTCAAGGCCTTGCATGATCTTGCATGCAATCTACGACGTTCATCATATCAATATATCAGTCTGGTACGCTATGCAACGGCCATCTTCGCAGCCCGCATTTTGCAAAATGGTGGGGATGGTCCCTTCCGACTCTCGTAACGTTATGGAAGTTGCCACACCCCCGCCGCTGCACCATATGCACAAAATTCGATGCACTCCGGAAGCTGTAAATCGGCCTCCGCCCATACCTTCACAAAGAAGTGATCTTGACGCTCTTCAAGCCAGCTCTTCTCCGCTTGCTTATGCTGACGACTCCGGGTCTCTAAGTGATTGCTGGCCATGCCTTTAGCTTTGATGACGCTGTTGTGCGCGAGATGCGTGGGGTTCCCGTAAAGCCACAGTACCCGCACCCGCGGTTGAGCGACCAACGTGACCCTGTTGCAGACGCAGCTGTGGAAAAGGCGGAGGCAGCACCTTTTTGGTCGAGGTGTGGATGGCAAGCAATCCTCGAAAACTTCTCTGCACAGGAGCCGTCACAGCAGAAGTCTGCGCCTCGCCTCGCCTGCAAGATCTTCGCATTAGGAGCGCACGAATCGTTCGTTTCAGTTCGTCATCTCACTTCGACATCTGGATTTGTGCAGCGTGCTTTGCATGGGAATCTGCTTGCAGAGCACGCAGACAGGGACAGAGCCGAGGTCGAAGTGAGCCTTGAGAAGCCCTATTCATCCTGCAAGATCGTCTGCAGCATGGGATTCTGCCCTCTCCAGACCTTGTCCTCAGCAAATTTGACAGCAAAGGTGGTTGTGACTTTCGACCCAAGCCAGACTCGAGTCAGGAAGTTGGCCCTGCATCAAACACGACTCAGTCCGAAACCCGTTCCGGCCCCCATTCACAAGACAGCGCAGCCTTTGTCTGAAAACGGCACGGAACGGCTTTCGGGCTTTGTCGCCTACAGTAGTGGTTTAAGCTCGTTTAAGGTTCTAGCATGTTGGAGGTTTAGGGGTCTAGGGTGCGCGACTCGGCTGATCTCTGGGTTGCTGGTTTTCATTTGCTGGCCTCGATTTGCCGACTCGGCCCTCTCCGCGTGCGTGCGTTTTGAGGCTCGATGACAACGACGAGGGAGAGCAACAGGCGTGGAAGAAGTTCGTTGCGGCCTGGACCGACTCGAACCGACCGACAGTGCACCTACAACGCGGAGCGGGTGATTGGCAATGGGACCTTTGGCATCGTGTGCCCTTCCGGGTCTCTCCGGGACTCGAATGGACAAAATCCGCATAGCCGTGGAAAAACTTTGGACTCCTGTAGGTACTCCGCTCATATCGTGGAGACCAACGAGACCGTTGCCATCAAGAAGGTCTGAACGTGATTTTCAGACGGTTTTGACAATCAGCTCCTCGCATGCCTTCAGCACTGTACCAGGTCTTCGTCGACCGAAGGTACAGGAATCGAGAGCTGCAGGCAGATCTTGATGGCACAGGCTGTTTCTGTGTGGACAGCTGCGGTGTCCAGAGAGGTGTGGCGTGAAATGCATCATCCGAACATCGTCACCCTGAAGGTCGGTTTTGACTCGGGCTCGGGTCGATTTTGCCTTTCGGGGTCCTTTGCATGATCTCCGGCATTTTGCAACGGCCAGCATGCCTTCTACACCTCCGGCGACTCTCCAGATGAGCTGTATCTCAATATGGCCTGGTCCTGAGAAGGATGTTGTCAAATGCACAACGAGTGAAGGAGGGGTTCTCAGGTCATGGAGTACGTCCCGGAGACTGTCTACTGTGTCATGAAGCGCTTCGGTGCCTGGCTGCTTGCTTTGGAGTGCCAGGTGGTAGTAGTTCGAAAACCTTTGCAGTTCTGCCAACTTGCCCACTTCGGCACTTCCTTGCATGGGCTGCAGCATCGCAGTTCAGGAGTTCGAAAGAGAGGATCCTTCAGTCCTCGACAACCATAACCAATAAGACCAGTAAGCTACCCTCACCTTGATGCGAGCCATGTCGTGCTTCCCGGGCACATGAGCCATGGTCGCGCAGAAGAGGAGGTGAGAAGCAAGCTGGAAGCATTGTGAGTTTGCTGTGGCTCCTTCTTGGTCCCGGCCCTTTGAGGTATCTGCTTTTCGAGGTGCTTTACGGCGCGAAGCCCTCGCGGGTTCGGTGCCCCAGCGCTGTGCTGTTGGGACTGGAAGGCCCTGGATGTTCTTTGGCTGTGCCCAGGCTGCCCCTGTCGACGAACTGGCCTCGGAGATTAAGGAGGCATGTGGGATTGAAGCGTTTTGTCCCAGCTTCCTTGGGATCCTGGCTCCTGCAGGCCTTCGTTTCCCACTGGGGCGTATTGGCTGAGGGCCAGGAGACGATGAAGTGTCTGATGTTTTGTGACGTTTCTACAGAGTCCGTCTTTAGCAGTGCTCTCTGCAGGGCAACTTGCGGCTACTCTACTGGAGTCCTGCGGCCGGGTGCACAGACATGCAGCGAGCCTTGCGCAGCCTGCACTGCGTGGCCTTGAGATTCACCTGGGCGTGGTCCGCTGTGCTACACACCTTGCGAGCCAACTTCGTGCCTCTCTGACGATGATGTGCCACTCTCAGCAAGGGCAACTGAGCACAGAGCTGACAGTGCGGAGCTGTAGCCACACAAAGGGCACTTTCTCTCTTCCGAGGACCCTCCTGGGAGGTGTGCCCGTGCAGGTTTCTGCTGGAAGCCCGGAAGAGCAAGTGCTGTCAGCTCTTTGACGAACCTCTCTGGAGATTGACGTGCTTGGGGCACGCCGATTTCCAAAGTGGAGCTTGCTGAGGTTCACCTGCTGACAGGAGAAGTGCAAAATGCGCTTCGATGCGGCAGAGAGCTGCTGCATAGGCACGGAAGGCTTATGCAATGCAATCTTGTCCGGGGCAAAAGCTTGTTCGGCAGCAGGTGGCAGCGGGCGGCGCTGGAGCGTGCTGGACCGGCCGAGCAAGCTGCCGTTCGCCAGGCCAATATGCTGGCGGCCTGTTTTTGAACGCACCGAAGTTGATACTGGATGGGCACAGGGCTTCGAGACAGAGCTCCGCTTGCTGTCCGAGGCTAGCCATGAATGCCTTATCTTTCTGTTACTCTTGCTGTAGGCTTGTTGGCGACACAACCACAGGTGAAGTCCAGCCACGTGGCCGCCTTCGGCCGAGTCGGGGAATGATGCGCCAAGGACGGCGAGTGAAGAAGCGCAGACAAGTCTTCGAGCTGTGCTGCAGCACAGAGCTCAAGATTGGGCCGCTTGTCAGCACCCTGTGGACTTGAAAGAGGCAGCGACCAGCAGGTCTTGTCTGAGTGCAAGAGGCAGAATGAGGTGGAGGCTGCCCTGCGACGAGTTGTCTGCACGGAGACGATCGGCTTGCTGTCCTGAAGTCAAGGAAAAACACAAAGGCAAAATGCAGTTCTCATGACTTGCTGCGAGCATCTTGCTTGAATCCTGGCCTGGTTGTTGTTTGTCATGCAAGTTTGGGCTCAGGACCCTAGTAGAAGAATGCGCAATCGGTCATGGCGAGTAACACTTCTGTGTAGTCGTTTCAGATCTTTCAGTCTGAGCATCTACGTCGTGATTCAGTTGGTCTCCCTGCAGCATGGATAGGTGGTAGGTAAAGTGAAGCTTTTCAGATCCTTTCAGCATTCAACACCCATGACCATAATGATTCAATAGCCTGTAGGTTGGTGGACATGCAAAAGTGAGATGAAGAGGTTACGCTTGTTCCCGATCGTGAGATCCTCCAGCTTCCGGCACGAGCATACCTGGTCTGCAGCGATGCGGTGAGGGCTTCACGTTCCCCGTGTGTCGGGGATATGAAGCCGCGGACGCCGGGAAGTTCAGAGCGCCTTGAGCGCCGTCTGGAGGCCTTTGAGTCAGTCCGCGGCATTAGGACAAGTTGACAACTGCCAGACAAATCTACAGACTCAGCAGCCTTCTGGCATCCGCATAATCGTTGATCGCATGATGTTTCTCCGGCCAGGCAGAAAAGAAGAAGAAAGCCCTGGCCAAAGCCGCAAATGGTGCTTCCCTGAGTCATTTTTTCCCGCTTCAAAGGGCCCTTTCTTGGGTTGTCCTCTTTGCTCTTTGCGCTCCGACGCGGAGGCTCTTCGGAGCCTTTTCCGGCCGCGGCGCCTCCGGCGCCTGTGGCGCTCAGGCGCCGGGCCTCCCTGGCCCTGCGTCAGGCGCGCGACTCGCGGCTTCGGCTTCGGTTTTCGGGGGGCCTCCTCGGTGGTTTACGGCTCCTTTGGAACCGGAGGTGATTGTGAGTGGGACGGAGACAGCGCTGAAGGCCGCCAATGCCACGACTTGATGTTTCGTACTCTGCGTCGTCTTGCCAGGTGAGGACCGGAGGCTTAGTTCAGGACGCTCTTGCGGTGATGGCTTCTGTCAGACGCTGTCGGACGCACGCTTGCTGGCTGAGTTTCGTCGTGGCTGCAGGATTTCTTGCGCAGAGATGAGGAAGCAGGTGTCTCTTGACATGTCCAGCCTGCCTGCTTGCCGCTCCCCTGCAGCCTCGAGGCAGACTTCTCGGTGACGATTCCAATCGCTGCTTAATTGATGCTTGGCGCAGTGGGTTAGATGTTGACGGGCAGGAAAAGCTTGTTGTAAGCCCGCCACATGACTGTCAAGGATTCCTCGGGAAGCGAGGATGATGCGGGGAAGGCAGCGGCCATTCCACGATGCTTCGGGCTCCTACAGGTGCTCGGATCTGTGTAGACTCGACCCGGCAGAGGATGCATCAACCTCGAGCGGGAAGGATCGGAGGCGCAGATGTGTCAAACGTGGACTTTACAGGACGTGGGCAGGGGGAGACGGTGCCTCGGCGCTGAGGCAAGGCATCTTCGCCGACCGTTCCTTCTGGCGCCGGGCCAGGCCGCGATGGGCCGCGGGTCGGGCCTCTTTTGCTTCGGTGTTTTGGCCCCGTCGGAGGCAGATCGCATGTTTCGAGTACACTTGCGAGCGGCTCCGGAACAACGTGAACACCTTCTGGAAGGAGAGAAAGCTTTTACTTGCGGCATGCACGTCTGCCAGCAGCTCCGAGTTTTTTTGGAGGAGCGGCTAGCAGATGCCATTGATGGGCGCGAACGTGCCCGTGCACAGGCAAAAGCTCCTTGACATCCAGAACGCCGAGAGTAATCTAGGGCGTCAGCTCGAGTCGATTCTAAGTAAGACTGCTGAGCGCGCACATGTGCAAGATTGTGCAACTTTGAGCGTGGGGGCGGTACTGAGGAGATTTATTTGGTTGTGTGCCGTCTCCGTGGCCTTGAGGAGGCAGGCTCTGCTTTGATAGCCGAGCCAAGCATCCGCCTCCGGAGAGCGCCCCAGCAAGTCTCAGTCGCAAGTGCAGGCTGTGAACCGACAGTGCGAGTTGTTGGCCTTCCGGCATGCCCTGCGTGACCGCCGCTGCCAGGAAGCATTAGACTCTGTGGTCGTCCTTACTAGTAACTAGTAATCAGAAAAGGGGGCATGGTTCCCCATTATCGACTACATCCCGAATCTCTCCTCGAATTTCAAGACGTTTGCAATAAACTTGTACAACCCCGCTTCTCGTATCAGATTGAGCAGGACACGTCCTTCGTCCGCAGGTCGGTATGCTGTTTGATCCTGCTTGGGTTTGTTGCCCAGGAGAGGCGGAGGCCGCGCTGACAACGAAGCTCCACAGGCAGTTCCGTGCTGGCGACAATGGGCCGCATGCCTTCTGGAGCATCTACCACAAGGATCGGCACAGCTCAGCAAAGTACATCGTCCGCAGTTCATGCATGACAGGAAGACAGCAAGTGGATGCTTCCCGCACCGTCCTCCATTACGTCGCTCAGCTTGACTGTGTCCCACTGTCTTCTAGACTAGCTCGTAACTGCATGGATGTTTCATCATGTATGAAATTTCCAGGGGCAAGCAGGAACAGAAGGAGCCCTACAAGCCAGCCTACAACAGGCGTGGCCATGCATCCTAACTAGATGGAATTGCACGAGAGTTGAAATGACTTGAGCTGCAAGGAGCAACCTGGTTTCTTCACGATTTCATGTAGCGATGAGCCAGGCAGCTTCCCGATGCCAAGCTCGTTGCAAACCCCGGAGCCATCCAGGACGGCGGGTGGGGAGCACGAAGCGGCAAAACGCATGGCAGCAGCACGCAGGAATGAAGCGAAGTCACGAATCATGGGTTGTAAAAACACGACGGTGTTCATTTTGGTTCTGAGCTCTGAGGCTCTCTTGAGTTGTGTTGGCTGGTTTCCGCTGCCTTCACCGCTCTTCTTTCGGCTATACAAGCTATACAAGTTGGAGTCAGGTTATGCACCACTCCCTCGGATTGATCAGAAAGTGGCTGCAGGAGTGAGTCTGCCAGTCGTACATCTCGGCGTTTTCCAAATCCTTTGCGATATTACATTTACCGGCAAGGGAATGCGACGAACAAGGGGGGGGAGTGTGAGTTTGCGCAGTGCCATTCTCTGCCTCAGGAGTCAGAGCCTTCCAGCCACGGCCACGCCTCTCTCAACTCGAAGCGCTCCCAGGCAGCGCGCAAAGTCACGTCCTTAGCCCTCGGCTGCCGAGGGATTCTGCGAGCCTCCATGGCAACCGCCTCAAGCCGACTCAAGCCGTTGCCTTCTGCAGGTCATTCAGCATCGGCGGGACATCCATCAAAAGCGCCTCCCAGCCGTGACTGAGGCAAGCGAGCCCACCACCCGGCAGCTTTCCAGCCATACCCCGAAGAACTCACTCTCCGACTCTCTCGCTCTCTCTCTCTCTCTCCTTCTCACCCTCTTGCGGAGGGGTGCTGGCCGGAGTTTTGGAAATCACCCACCACTCAGAGGTACACTGGTAAGGGACCTGATTGCAGGTGGGTGGCCAAAACGGTGGGGAGTCAGTGGGTTCCAGGAGCACACGGGCTTAGTAACTTAGTATCTGCAGAGGGATCTGTAGAGAGGAGCGTGCTTGCATGTTGGCTCGCGGCTGCGCACAGCTCGACGCAGAGGGACGTTGTCTGCATGGCCGGGGGACATCGGGGGACCTTCGAGGGAAGAGCCTGATCGCACGGGTATCCGCGAGGATGGCATGCTGTCTTGCGGGCCTGCTTAGTTGCTACTTCGTGCGATTGTTGGGATGCCTTCTTGCCAAACTGGGCCGTCTTTGCTGACCTCAGAAGGTTGTTTCTGGGGTTGGGGCGTTCGCCAGCGGGAACTACAAGTGGAGGGGGCAATGACGCTCGCGGAGCCCCCTGAAAAGCCGGGAGGGAACGGCGCCTTAGGCATGGCTGCTGCACGCCCCACCTCGTGCAGCTAGTCGCTGACTCACTCATTCACTCACTCACTCTCGCTCTCTCTCTCTCTGAAGATGCCGCTCTAAATTTTTCTAAGTTGTGAGAGGTGTCGTCCAAGCCGCGGCGGCCATCCCTTCCCGAGGCTTGATGCCAAGCGTGGCGTACCTGTGCTTTTGTCTGTCGCTTTGGGTGACAAAGGACCGGCAGAGCAGATAGGGATTCCGCCATGAGTGTGGCAGCAAGAAGCAGCTACTAGTAGGTCCCTTGCCACGATCGTGTCTGTTGCGAGGTGGATCACTTCGACTTGGAGTCGCGCCCAGGTACTCGTCAGGACACGCCCGCATCCATTTTTACATTCCTGTTCTTTTGAAAGCATATCGCCAGTTTGCGGGGCTCTTCAGGAGCGAGGATACTTTGACCTTGGCCGGTTTCTTGAACCCACCCGTCGAGCGAAGCGTCCCAAGGGCGCGCGCAGTCAAGAAGGGGATGGGATGGGATGAGCGACGGACAGAATCATGTGACTGTCAGCTGCATTCCGAAGAGGCTTGCGTCCAGAGAGCCGATCCGTACCGGCGCTGCCACAGCTGGGGAGTCGTGAGCGCGGCAGGCATCTTTCCTATAAATCTTCTTTCAACCCAACTGTGAAGTGCCAGGCACGGTGGAAGCAAAGGTGGCATGGGCGAGACGATGGGCTCAACGATCCCTGACAGCATAACTAACTGAGTCTCATATAGTCTCATCATTTTTTGAGGGCTTCGAGCCTCAGAGAGCAACTCACTCTGTCTCGTTGCCTCCGATGTTGTCTGATGTTTTCCGGCATTTGCGGTCTTCTGCCTTTGGTAGGCAGTCTGTTCTGGGTCGTCGTCGAGGGTGACAGAATGTCAGGATGGGAGAGTGGCTAACAACTTGTAGGGAGTTCAGAAGTTTCCGGAAGGGACAGAGAGGCTTTGAGAAGACGTCTGTATACGGTAGACCCTTATGCAAGCGAAAAGATGGGTGAGGTGGCTGCTGCTGCTGATGATGAATGTCGCGGTGATGATGGTGATGGTGATAATGATGGTGATAATGACGATGGTGACTGTGATGTTGATGGTGATGATGATGATGATGGTGCTGATGAGGATGATGATGATGATGATGCTTGCTGACGCTGCTGCTGCTGCTGCTGCTGCTGCTGGCGCTTGTGTTGATGTTGGTGCGGTTGTCGTTGTCGTTGTCGTATCGTCGTCGCCGTCGTCGTTGTTGCGGGAACCATAGTCGTCAGGATAATCATGCTGCTGACGATGCTGATGATGATGATGATGATGATGGTGATGACGATTATGATCATCAGCATCATGACGACGGTGACCATGATGACATTGTGCTGAGAGGAAGAATAAGCAGCAGTCAGAACAACAGCCGCATTGCAGCTGTTGCAGTTGTTGAAGCTTACGGACATCCCTCCCTGCCAAGGACCTCTTCGGGCTCTAGCTGGTGGAATCCAAACGCAGATGCCAAGCCGCGACGGAGTGTCATGGCGCCCGTGCTGGAGGACAGGGTTGGTGTCAAAAGCCACCAGTGCAGATCTGTTGCCCTTGACCATGCCTTCAAAGGAGTCTGCCATGAGCGTATCCAGGTGCGGAGATCGGGAAGATCTGACAACATACGGTACAAATGGGAGTGGATGCCAAGTTGCCCAAAGACCCCCCGCTATCGGTCAGCCCAATCCTGTGCGATCTTTCAGTACGTGTGGTAGTGCATGCTGTCTCTCGCAGCCCTGCGCATGAAGCTCCTGCGATAATACACTTTCCCAAAGGTTTCCTTCGTTCCCTTGAACTGCTTCGGAACCTTGCACTTCATCTGGGTTTAATGAGTCAGACGAAAACCGTTCACCGTCACCAGTGCTGTCAAGCCGAAGGGGAGAAACGTGCTCTTCTGCAGGTCACTCCCAGATCTCGCCCGGCCAGCGCTGAGAATGCCGCCCTTCTCCCTCGAGGCAGATCGTTTTTCAGATCGCCACTAGGGAGCTTCCGTTCGTCCCCGTCTCAGGCAGTGGCGGAGCCCTTCATGCAGCCTTGGCAGTCCGAGGCATCCTCGCTTTCCAGTGCAGACGTGTGGTCTGGGAAGCGCAGCTCAGGTTCGCACGCAGACTGGAACGCGAGAGCCCGAGGCAGAGGAAGATTCTGCCACGATGCACTACATCCGCGTGCGCTGGCAGCAGGATGATGCACACTGATGCTCAGAAGGATGGCTTCGAGGAACATTTCTGAGATCTGAGGTTTGCAATGCAACCGGCGTTGTGCCTACCGCTGCGGTGCTGGATCGTGGCATTGCACGAATCGTTTTTTGTTGCAGTTGTCGTCCTGCTACGTTGGCTCACATCATGCTCGAAGATTCCAGGCATGTCTTGTCGCCATTGTTGTCCCGCGAGTTCCACTTGCAGGACATGGTGCGCAGCCATGCCATCAGCAGCGGAAGCGAATTCTTGTTGGATGATGAGCGACCCGACTGCACAAGGCTCGATCGGTGGAATCAAGGTGCGAGGTGTGCGCTACCTGGATCCGAGGCTGCTGGCCATGTCGACAATGATCCGTCCCTGTTTGGCAGATTAAATAAAGCCTTTGTGTGCATCCGTGGAGCCGACACAGAAGAGAAGCTCTGTCGCCAAAACGAGGCTATTTGGACAGAATCAAAGAAGTAGGCCTGGCGGGAAGCACCCAGCCCTTTGGCAAAGATAAATCACCTTATAAATCACTTTGGAGACTGATCTGCTGGTGGTACTTCACTCCTGCCCGGAGCATTGTGAGGCTCAGCGATGCTGTCCTCAACACCTTTTTGCAGAAGCTGTTCGGTCGACCGGTGACCCGCTTTGAATCAGAGAGTGCTGGAGAAGCCACCCGGCTGCCTTCCTCTGAGGCCATGGATTCGCTGGAGAAGCTGGACCTTGCACGCTGCCGCGGCGCAGGCCTCTTGACAACAACTGGCATTTCTCTGCTTCGTAACAATAGGGCGCAGCAGAAAAGGAGTCTTCTCGAAAGGTCCGGGTACACACACACGGTAAGTGTCGGAATTGGCAAACATGCGATTTCTGCTGTGGAGGAGCACAGTCACAGAAGTTGCTGTTGTCCGCAGGACCGGAAAGGAGTACATTCGGGATATCACAGAACACTCCTTCTTCGCCGAAGATGCTGTCCATGCCTGCCTATTGAGAGCCGAGAGAGGGTTGAAACCTCGACAAAGATCCGAGAACATCAACAAGCATCTGCAAGAACATCAAGAAGATTATGTGGTGACCTCACGGAGGCTATGTCGCCAACCAATCCACCGGAAAACCTTGCATTCTCTGTCTGCCCTTTCACGCACGAGGGCCAAAAGATTTCCCGTCCGGGCCCTCCCGCAGCCAAGCCAAAGCTAAAACTTGACGCAACGTGAAGCTCAGCCGAGACTCTGAACCCAAAGCCGTCCGACAGGACAGCTCAGCAACTCCCAGACTCCCGAACAGGCCCTCAGCCAAAGATTGCAGGCTCAGGGTACACTGAAAAAGAGACAGAACACCCATTGTATGCCTTTTTTTTGGCGCAGTCAAGAGCGCAGTGGAAAGGTCCGAGGGCGATGGCCACCATCGTTGGCTTGCTCGGGGCGCCTTGGCTCCGAGGCTTATCGCAGAGACCATCAGAGATCTTGTTGTCCGAATCCTAAGGAGAGTAGTGGCCTCTTCAAGCTGACCCTCGGCGGATGATCTGTGTAGAGTCTTTGAGAGATCTTTGGACACTTCTGCAAGATTCCTCTCTCGGCCCCCAAAGGAGACACCTGGACGTCAGCGGCATCAAGATCTCAAGCAACACATTGACATCACTCTGCAGCGCTGTGCATCTGCATCCGGCCATCAGATGAATTCCGGCTGCACCCAGCTTTTGCCATCCAAGTCTGCGCTGTTCTTTTGTGGCTTCAGCTGGCTTGAAGGTCTCCGGCTTCAAGATACAGGCCTTGGCCACCATCCTGCAGCCGCGAGCTGCTTGCAGGACGATCCCAAGACAAGTCTGCAAATCTTTATGCGTACCATATAAAAGCACAGACTAGCCGCAGACTGCTGAGATCTGCAACCCCAGAGAAGCTGAGGCGTGCAACAGTGCCCTTGTTTGAAGCCTGTCGGCAACAACCGTTTCCGGCAAATTCCGCTCCACGTGCCCAGCTTGCCTTGTTTTGCCCCCTCTGTGAGGATGTGCTCAATGCACCGGCGCTGGAGGCCGGAGCTGGAGCCCGAAGCGGGACCACGAAGCTCTTTTGCTTTTGATTCTTTCTTTTTTTTTTGCTTCGTTTTGGGGGGCAGCTTTGGACGTTGCAACGCAGACCGTGAAAATTGGGCTGATGGGGCGGATTTCGGATTGCACTAGGTGCACCGTTGCATCTTCGTTCCGCTGACAGTTTGCACATGTTGTCACCCGGGTCCCAGATCATGGCTCTAAAGCGTGCGCATGGCTCTGGAAGGTCCTGGGCCTCGGTTGGAACAGCTTCTCTGAAGAAGCGCTGCGGTCGCTGGGTGACATGCCTCTCGGCAGAACGAGTGGATCTCGACCAACTGCGCCAACCCCCGTGCCAGATAAGTGGATTGATCATGCAGTTGAGAGATGGTGGCGTCTCGCAACTTACAACGCCTTCGACTCGTCATAATCCGTGTGCTCGTAGGACCCACTTGTGAGAGTCCCCAGGCTCGCCAGCCACAAGCGACTACGCGAGCTCCACCTTCCAAATTGTGACTGCCGTGCGCGGGTGGTCTCCCAGCCCTCCATGCACATCTTCCTTGAAGGCTGCACTCATTTATGCTGCTACCGGCACACCAAAGAATTACCTCACTGCCTGTCCCTCCTGCAGGTTTGGGACGGAATAGCAGCCTCACCATGCTGGATCTCTCCATGAACCGGCTGACATCGATAAGCGCACTGGTCCTGGAGGTGCAGCGCATCCCAGATTGTCCTGCTTCGCTTCGTGTCAGAGCGTCATCTCCCCCCCCAGGACTCCTTGGCTAAGCACACCAAGTTGCAGGACCACCGTCTCCTCGTGTCTTCTCAGCCGTTGTGTGCATTCACTGTGGGCTCCAGGAGCTGTTCGTGGGACAGAACCCCTTTGGCGTGCATGGATTGAGGCTTGCAGATCCCACTTCTTTTACCCGCACCTGATTTCCACGCTTTGGTACAATGGAGTCACACTGCACAGCAAAGCCTGGAGTTGGTAGGTGCCTCTTTCGCCTGCTGGGACAACCTACCTGTGGCCTTAAAATGCTCGATGCCGTCGGATGCCAAGGCCGTCGGTCGTCGTCGGTCCGTTGCCGCGCTGCCTATGCCTGGCCTGGAGGTACCAGTGACGAGAGCCGCTTTGCAGAGGGCCACTGTGGCTACCGGGCGAGCGAGCCCTCAGGGCACTACAAGCGACTCCCTCAGTCCTAGTCGTGTTGTTTGAGCTCTTTTATCGGCCTTGAGACCAGGCTGGATCTGACTCTCTGCCATGGCAGGCGCACGCAAATCGTCGGGTAGGGCGTCAGATTCTAGCACTCGGCATCTGTACTGGGAAGTTGTCTTTCGTGGGTAGTATCGGTGCTGAGTCTCGGGGGAGAGTTTTGGAATCTGTTCCGGGACAGCCTCGGATCAGGACATGGGCAGTTTTGGCCTCACGCACGCCATGGTCAGTTTCAGGCCCAGGCCTGCAAGAATCGAACTGAAACTGCCCACCTCGCCACAGACCCGCGTCCCCAAACTCACTCCCGCTGTGCCGAAACTGGGCGCCGAAACTATCCCCCCTCTGATCCGTACCCTGCGGCAGCCGATCCGAAACTGGGATCCCGAAACTACGGGCACCCTTCTCTCTTTCAGCAGCTTCTTCGGCTCGCTCTCCTGGCATGCAGATCTCT